TATGTGTTTTGATTAAATGGAAAAAAAAGCTTATCTCCCCCAAGAACATCTCAGATGTATAAATGTCTGCTATGTCCTAACAGAGCTTATAATAACATCTTGTCATTCAAGGCAGAGTGTAGAAATTTTCAAAGCTCAGTTTAAGAACTTCTACTATGCACTCTTACATAGATACATTGTAGGGATTTTCTAATCTTGCATCCACTCCTTGGGCCAAAATTCCCTTATGGCTGTGTTGTCAGACATCCTCACCTCGTAAACGGATGACTCTAAACCTTCTCTCCAGGGAGAGCTTGCTTTCCTCAGCCTGTTGGGGGGTTTGGGCAGTTTCCAATCTAGGAACACGGGGAAGAACCAGGCCCTCCTCCTGTTTAAGTTCCTGCATGATTTTGTCCCTCGTCCACTCAGTTGTGCCATTTCCTAACCTATGTCCGGCCTTGAACTCTGTGCTGCACTCATACCAAGTCCCCAGAACAAGAGATGCTGCAAGCAGAGGGGTGGGCCGGACCCCTTTATCTCGAACCCACAAGATGGACCAGCTTTCTCAGTGATAGATTTTCCACTTCCGAAACCAAGGGGCAAAGGTACAAAACAGTGACTCCCTGGTTCTTTGTGTTGCAACCCCAGTATGATGAGTCAACAATTTTCAACTCAACTCCTCACAATACTGTTCTTATTCTGTCACCATCACCAGGGAGGATGTGGAATGTTCCTCAGACCTCACCCTTGTTTTTATTTCCTTATCAGCTCACCTGGGACACTCAGCCTCTTTCTCTCCTTTCTCTCCTGCAAGGGATGGAATCAAGATGCAATTGTGGGCAGGGCACTGTGGCTCACACCTGTAATCCTAGGATTCTGGGAGGTTGAGGCAGGTGGATTGCCTGAGCCCAGGAGTTTGTGACCCGGCCTCACCAACAGCAAGATCTCATCTCTAAGAATAGCCTGGTGTTCTGGCAGGTACCTGTAGTCCCAGCTACTCGAGAGGCTGAGGCAAGAGGATGGCTTGAGCCCAAGAGTTTGAGGTTGCTGTGAGCTATGAGCCACAGCACTCTACCCAGGGTGGCAAAAGCGAGAGTCTAAAAAAAAAAAAAAAGATGCAATTGTGTCTGAGAGCTTCTCCCCCTCTGAGACATGGAAACGTGGCTGGCTGGGCGGTCTTAGCTCCATGGTTCCATATCATGTGTCGTGTCCCTTTTGCTAGTGACGTTTCCTGGTAGCTCAACCAGCCAAGGCAGTAAGCCCTCTATTTGTTTTCTGTTCTTCATGGAATGGTGCAGTAACTCAGAGATAAGGCAGAAAATTATTAATCAAAAAACCCAAGGAAATAAAAAAATTGCATAATTCTACTTAGTAGGGTTGTGGCATGGATTTGGCACGACATCCAAGGCTGGTACCTCCTTCAGCTTTGACAAAAACTGCTTGTGGCTGCTCTCACTGAACTCATGGTGCCTCATTTACCATAACCGCAGCACAGAGTGGGAAAAGGTTTATGGGTTTATGTTCCTGCTCCTTGAGGTTATGAGTTTTTTCACGGCAGGATTATTTTATATTCTCACGTAGTAAATAAATAGCTGAGTAAATCAGTAATTTAGGCCCACCCTGGGCAGCTCGGCTGGACCACCTGGATTTCTTCCTGCCATTCATTTCTGCTCTCCCCCAGCTCTTAATGTAGCACCGAGAGGCTGCTTTTCAGATCCTACCTGCTAATTTACCCAAAGCTTCATTGTTCTGGACATGTATCCACATGGGCGAGTCAGGGGCCAGACTGTACTAGATCTTCCCACAGTCTAATTTTAGGACACAGCCAAAACATGTAGACATGGGCAAGGGTACAGTCCAAGAGTGCCCAGTCATCTAGAGGCATTTAGAACCATGGTTGTCAAAGCGTCATCCCAGGAGCAGCAGCAGCAGTGGCATCACCTGGGAATGTGAGCTCTACCCCAGACCTGCTGAACCAGGGGATGACGGAGACAGCCACAGGTCAGAGTAAGCCCTCCCTCGGGTGAGCCCGATGTGTACTCAGGTTTAAACAGCCAAAGGAGCTCCAGGTCAGACATTCTCTCTTCTTGGCTGCTGGCGGGGAGGAAGGAGGCTGTCCTGGAGGTCATATGCCAAAGGATGCCTTTTATGTGGCGCAGCCCCAGCTTCTGGCTATACAGGTAGAGCTTGTGGTAGGAACACCTCCCTGGAATCTCAAGGTTGTTCTTTCATCGACCCAAGAGTGTACAGGAAGAGGAAAACATCTTAAATGGCCGATGTGAGGTACCTTCAAGGCTGTTCCATCCTTTTACTCAGGCAAGCAGCTGCCTTGGAAAAACTCATCAGAATCCCATAGAAGGCCAGCCAGGAGCCCGAGAGCCAGGAGAGGCAGGAGTAAAGTCTCCTTCATTAAGTGAACAAATGTCCCAAATCAACATGTATGCCTCAGAAGATAGAACCTCGTATAACTTGAAGCTTCAAGTTCAGAGCTAATTTTCAGAGCTAACTTGGCATATGCGCTTGCTAAGTTTCAGAGAAGAGAGTGAGGTGGGGTGAGAAGAAAGAGACTCAATAGTTAGAAGCTTCAGCAAAAGCATCCCCAGCCCCACAAAGGCCTCGGAGGCTGTCTTTCCTTCACTAGGGCTTCTCCTTAGCCCAGTAAGAAGGCCTCTGTCATTCGGAGACCTAATTCAACCAGACACCCCTGGAGACAACAGCCTTCCCTCCGAAAGAAGCTCTGTGTGCTTCCCGACTCTGATAAGCACACAGATGCTGCAAATGAAGCGAGGGCCAGCGAACAGCAGCTCAGGGCCAAGTCCACCCATGCCTGTTTCTGTAAGGCCAGCAAGCTAAGAATAGTTTTTATATTTTTAAATGATTGAAAACAAAGTTTTAAAGACTATTTCGTGGCTTATGAAAATGATATAAATTCCGATGTCAGGGCCCACAACTAAAGCTTTATTGAAATAGCTCTGTCCATATGTGTTGTCTATGGCCGCTTTAGACAACAGAGTTGAGAAATCACCGCAGAGACCATATGGGTTCCAGGGCCCAAGTACTTACTATCTAGCACTTTCCAGAAAAGGTAGTCAACCTCTGCTGGAAAATGAAGGGTATGCAGTTCATCATCTCAAGGAGAGCCCTCAGCCACTTCTAGCTAGGCACTGTCACACCCAAAGCAGCTTTCTGTCTATCCTGCTGTTGTGGGCTCCACTGCTCATGCGATCAAGTCTACCCAACATCTTCAAGGTTCAGCTCTGATCTCATCTCATCCCTTACTTCCCGGATCATTCAGAACTTCTGCCCCTGGGACGGAGAAACTGCCTCGCGTGAGAATCTGTTCCAGCCACAGCATGGCACGATCCTAACTGGAGGCACAGGTTTCTCTGAGAGTCATGTCTTCTTTGCTTCCTGCCTCATTTTCATGCATTCCAAGTGTCCCCTTCAGTCACCAGAGCATCTAAAACAATTCTGGCATAATCTAAGCGCCAAAGATCAGTTTGTAAGAGGGGAAGTTACTACTACTTTTTTTTCTTAAAAAACATTTTTAATGTATTTTTTTTTTTTTATTTACTAATCCTTGCTATTGAAAAGTTGAGACTTCAGTAAAAACCGAACCTGTGTCTGCATATAAACTTTTGGCTGCTATTTGCAAAAAACCTCAATTGGTAAGGACTAAATTGCAAACTAGAAAGCATCAATTCATCTGGAACTGAACTTCAAAAGCTAACAAGCAGATACTGCCTCTTCCAACTACCATGATTTGAACTGCTCAGCATGGGCCGGGGGATTCTAATTCAGCATGGGTGCTATTTGGGACCTGAAGACCGATATACACTTCAGAGCACCTCCTATAAAAGTTACACAGCATGACAAGCAAATGGTGTGTGTGGGAGGGACCCAGAACTCCAGCCCAGGAGGCCACCTGCAGAGCTGAGCTCTGTTGGGTCCACTTTGCTGACAGCCTCCACCCAAGAGTGAAGTTGCAGGTCTTTCTGGAATGAGCACAGTTAGCCATAATTAAAAGTCCAAAGTGTGAACCACGCACTGCTTCTACTTCTAAACCAGTGCTTCTGAACCATTCTGGTGTGGTAGGAGCTCCAAGAGCTCTGAGCACTGAAGCATGAGCCCACCTAGCTGGTGGGGCAGCCGCCAGCATTTCCGTCTGATAATTGGGAAAGTCAAGGCTCCCAAGTGCTAGCTTTATTGGAGCAAGATCCCAAGTGTTGGGAGAGGTAGAACCAGAAAATGAATGCAGGCCAGCCAAGCTCAGGTCACTTCCCTCAACCATGTGGCCACATTGCCAGCAAAGTACAGGCTTGGGCCCTCCCGTGGCACAATTTAGGGGGGAGTCACTTGACTCAGTTTCCCCATCTTCAAGAAAGAAGAGGGTGACTCTGCCTCTCTACGTCTGCCCCTGAGTCTCTCAGCTGTGTCCCAGAGACCTGCTCATGCTCCATCCAAAGGGGAACCAGCTGTTCAACTCTGTACCTGCTCTCAAATCAACCCCCAGGACAGTGCAGAACTGTCACAAAGGGAATGCCCCAGCTCCTCTTAGATCAAGGCTTCCTCCTGAACTCCAGGGTCACCTGGCCAGTCAGAGGCAGGAGAAGTGCAAAGGGGGCCACCCAGCTCTCACCAGACAGACTAAGCTTCTGCTGGCCCTCCTGTCACCTGCATTGATGCAACTCTGAGAGCACTGTGGTCTCTTGAGAAACAACTGTCCCCAACAGGTAGACAGGTAGTCAAGGTGTTCACATACTCAGTGTATGGGTGCCCTGATGCACAGTGATCAGCCAGGAGAGGGCATCCGGTGCCCCCCTATGTCCCCAGACCTCCACTGACCTCCAGGTCCCCTTGCTTCCCTGGGCCAAGACATGTCAGTGCTGTGGCGCCACACCCTTCCCCAACTCCAGCGCCAGCCGATGCTGACAGCGGGACTGGTCTGCAGTCCCTATGGCCCCCAGCGGCCCCCTCCCTCACCCTCCCGAGTTCCACCGAGCCCCGCCAGCCTCGCCTACCTGTGCTGGCGGCTCTGGAGCTCCCTGAGACTGGCTGGCAATGCGGAGGACAGCAGACAGGAGCACTTTTTTAAAAGGTGTCGCTCCTCCGACTTGGTTTCAGGCTCTGCCCAGCCCTACCTGTGCAGCAGGAGGTGCGCGAGGCGGAGCGGCCAGGCTCCACCCTCTGGGGTGGCGGCACTGCAGGGAGTGGAGGTTAGCGCCGCCTGAGCCTGAGCCCCGCAATGGGACATTTACCTCTAGTTACTGCCCCAGGCCCTTCTGGGGGCCGGACACAGGCACTCCTGGGGGTGGTGAGGAGCCCGGGCCTGGGATTCCCGACGTGAGCCCCAGTCGTTGGGCAGCTGGGCTTGTTAAAACACAGACCCCCGCGCCCTGCCCCAGACTTGCTGACTCAATAGGTTAGTGTTGGGGCTTGAGAACTTGAGACTTTGCCTTTCTTTCTTTTCTTTTCTTTCTTTCTTTCTTTCTTTTTTTTTTGATGACAAATGAGTTTCAAAAGTAAACAAATCAGACAGATTTACATTTGAGGAGGGAGACTTTGCATTTCTAACAAGTCTAAAGTGAAGGGGATGCTGCTGGCCTGAGAACCACATTTTGGAAACCACTTCACAGGGAACACAGGTGACAGTCCTAGGGGAGGAACACTGGCAGGGGACAACTGGTCAGCTGTCTGCGTGTGGGTGTCTTTCCCGAAGACTGAAACTTTGAAAGCATTTCTAGAGGATTCTACATTTCCTTTCTTTAACAACAGAAACAAAACAGTAAGAATACAGTGATTATCTTCCCGTCTGTGACTGGGGGGGGGTGGGGGGCGTTCTGCAAACGCTGAGAGGAACACTTACAAGGCAATGAAGGTGAGTCCTCTGTCATTTCCAAACTCCTGGTGAAATACACACACCGTGGGACCTGCCACCTCATCTGTAGCAGCACCGTCTCCACCTGCACTGTCGTCTGCGCAGTGCAGTGGCGTTAAGACATTCTCTCTGTTACTGCCCCATGTCCCCACTAGACGCTAAGTCAGATCCCCTCCTCCCCTCGCACCACCGTCCTCCCTCTGTCTCCATGAAGGAGGCTCCTCTGGCCACCTCCTGTCAGTGGGAAGCCCAGAACTGGCCCCCAGGTGCATCCGTGTGGCAGAGTGTGCCCGAGTCCTTGCTCTGTGAAGGTGGGACGGCTGCCATGCTCTGCGCACACCACGCCCTGTTTGCCCACTCCCCTGTCCTGTTACCTGCTGAGTCTTAGCAAATGTCCCAGCCAGCGCTCCGGAGGACAGCGGTGTGAAGGGAGACACAGGCCCTCTTCCCCAGAGGCCGGACCTGCCCTTCTGGGCTTTCTCACTCGCCTGAGAAGGGGGAGCCTCTTCAGAGAGTCGCTCACTTGGGGCTCACAGGGAAGCCGGCAGGGTACCTACTGGCATGGCGGCTGCAGGTAAAGGGATTCCTCAGGTAGAAAAATGCACCATTGGCCTAAGGGACAAAGAAAACTTGCTCTGGAAGGTCTGGAAGCAGCTTTATAGTTGTTATTCAGTCAGATAAGCCTGGGGTAGAAAGGCCGACCCAGTGTCATTTCTTTAGAGAACGGGCGTCCAACCTGTAGCCCATGGGCCACATGTGGCCCAGCATGGCTATGAATGTGGCTTAACACAAAATTGTAAACTTACTTAAAACATTATGAGATTTTTTGGATTTTTTTTTGTGGAAGTCTAGTGGGCAGTTCTCAAGTGTGAACTTTGTAGACAACAATATTATATCTCCGTGTCACATAAAATAAATATATGTAAGTTCTTGCTGTTTGTAGGCAGTTTTTACGTACAGTTTCTTGGCTTCCAGTGTGTTACCTTCCAAGTGCAGATAGTCAAATTGAAATTGTCAGATGTCACATGCTTGTGGTGAGTTGGTGATAATTATAATTATCAATAATATTTCAACCTACCATTGTAACATTAGGCGTTTAATGTTACTTAGAAGTCAATGGCATTCTCCTTTGATTATTAAGGCTACTTCCACACACTGCCCGCTGTGCTTTATAATTGGTCCCGCCTTGCCCTGCACTGGCTGAGAGGTGGAAGGGCCTCAACCTCGCTTTCTATTTTCCTGTACATTAATTTTCATAATAAAAGTGAATCAAATCCCTTATCTATTATTACTATTTTTTCAACCCCAGTGTGGCTTCTACAATGTCTCAAAAGAGAATAGAACCTGAAAAAAGAAAAGTTACAGATAAAGGAAGATTGTTCAGTGAAAAGTGGACAAGTGGCTATTTTTCATCGAGGTAAATAGTAAGGCACTCTGCTTAGTTTGCAGGGAATTTGTGCAAGTTTTCAAAGACCATAATTTGAAAAGGCATTGTATGCAAAAGCATGCTGCCCAATTTGATGCAGATGAAGGATTGCGCCCTGAGGACAAAATAGTGAGACTGAAAAAAAGCCTGTCTTCTTCACAAAAAAAAATTTTTTTAAAGTTAGGACTCGGATGGATTCCACTATAAAAGCTAGTTATGTGGTAGCATATTTCATAGTGAAAAAATCAAAACCATTTGCTGGTTTCAGCAATGTATGGAGAACATGGCAGATAGAATCAGCTCTGAAATACAGGGCGATATTTCTAAAGTCAGTTTGTCTCACCATACTATAACTAGGCAAGTTTGAAGAAACTGGAAAATCTATGGAAAGAATTTGAGAGAGTAAATTTTAAATTTTATGCTTCGGCGATGGATGACAGACGGCACTGATGCTATAAACAGGGCTCATCTTGCCATTGTCATTAGAAGAACTGACGACAAATATAACGTCACTGAGGAATGGCTTCTTGAATGCCATTAAAAGACACAACTACATCAAGAGATTTATACGAAGTAGCACAAAAATACGTTAAGGCAATTTTCTTTGTCCATCGTCAACATATCTGGTGTAGTTACTAATGGCGTCCCATAGGTAAAAGAGAGGGACTTGTAAAATTAATAGTTTTGCCACCCCAGACTCATACATTGGTCAAGTATCATTGCATAGTATGTCAAGAAAATTTATGCACAAAAGCTTTAAAAATGGATGACATCATGCAAATTGTCATCAAGACTGAGTTATAAAGGTCACGGGATTGACTCATTGACAATTCCAGGAATTCCTTAAAAGTACTAAGGCTGATTATGGCGACATCATTTACTCTTTGGAAGTAAGATGGCTAAGGCCAAATATTGAGAAGGTTTTATGATTTGCAACATGTTATCAAGTCGTTTATGGTATCAAAACCGAATCTGTGCCGGTATTTGATGATGAAAACTGGCTTACAGATTTAGCATTTTCAGTGGGTTTTACTGCTCATTTAAATGAGTTAAACATGCCTCTTTAGGGTGAAAACCAGCTTATCAATGCAATGTTTCGGACCATAACAGCGTTCCAAATGACACTGAAATCATGGCAAGCTCAAATTAAGGCAAACAATGCGGGCGTTTTGACACACTGGCTACACATGGTCCTGGGAACAGCAAAAAATGTGCAGCCTTGTTTTTGTATTTGGTATAAGAATTTGAAAACAGATTTCAAAATTTTCAGGAAAATAATTTTTTGGTACATTTGCAACTCCATTTTCAATTGACATAAGTAAGTTACCTACTAGTTTTCAAATGGCGTGCACAGAGCTGTAATCTGATGTTCAACTTAGAGAAAAATGTGATCCTGTCTCTTCACTGGACTTCTGTAGGCCCTGTCTTCCTGGAGACAAATATCCTTCACTTCACAATCACGCCTGATTCATGCCATCACTTTTTGGCAGCACCTACATTTGCTAGCAATTATCTTTAAGAATGAAGCACATTAAGAGTAAAATTAGAACCCAAATATCTGATGAGCACCGTGGGAGCTCACTGCAAATTGCAACTACTTCCATCAATCCAGATACTGATGGCAGTAGTTTCGCAAATACAATGTCATCCCCACTAGATTTATGTTGCTCATTTTTCTTTTACTTTTAAAATAAAAAAGTCAACCCCCCAAGATGTTTTATTACCTAGATATATATGCTTTCTATATTAATGATTGCAAACTTGGTATCTGTTTGACAATGTTAATAGACTTTCTGAATGGGCCACTGCATAATTAGGAATATTACGTGAAAACTTTTTTGCTTATCTGTGGTGGTGGGCAGCACAAAGACCTCTGGGCTTTTTGTTGATCCGCTTTTGTTAGTGTTTGTGTATTTAATGTGTAATGGGAGATAGCTCTTCTTCCAATGTGGCCCGGAGAACCCAATGGTTGGACGCCCCTTCTTTGGAGCACGTTTTCTCTGGAGGCAAGTATTTCTGTTGCTGGCCTCAAGAACATTGGAATCTTAGGCCTCTGGAACACCTTGTTCTGGGCCAGTGGTTCTCAAAGTGTGGCCCCTAGGTTGGCGGCCACAGCAGCCCCTGGAAACTTGGAAGGAACAGCAGCCTCTGAGGCCCCTTCTAGATGAACCAGAACCTCCGTGGGTGGGCGCAGCAGACTTCTCAGTAGCTGTGAAGCAGAGTCTGTTTCTTCCATGTGCTCCTTTCATCCTTCATTCAGGCATTATTTACTTCCCGGCTCTCAGTGCCCACTACGGTGCTAGCAACCACTTCCGGCAAATTGTGTGCAACAGAGATAGCCCTGAGCTCTGCAGCTTACCTTATCATTTTTGTTTGTTTTTTGAGATAGAGTCTCACTCTGTTGCCCAGGCTAGAGTGCTGTTGCATCATCATAGCTCACATCAAACTCTTGGGCTCAAGCAATCCTCTTGCCTTGGCCACCCAAGTAGCTGGGACGATAGGTGGCACCACCACCAGGCTCTCTGCTGTGAATCGTCCCAACATGAAAACAAACTTCTGGCTTCCTCTCCTGAGACAAAATTTTCTTGTTACATGTGTCACCAGATAGAATTCTTCTTCTGTAGGATATTCCTGCTGTGTATAATTAGTCCCTAGGTATCTACAGAGCTTTGGTTTCAGCCGCATGTCAGGAACTGTGAGCAGATGAAACCCACATTGCAGGCTCTCTGAACAGTGCAGCTGGCAGAGATTTAAAGAACCCTAGGGCTCTGTGATCTATGGATCCCTGTGTCCCTGACAGTCAGGCTA